TGTGTGTGTGTGTGTGTGTGTGTGTGTATGTGTGTGTGTGTGTGTATGTATATGTATATGTATATATCTATTATTCAATTAATATCTATCTGTGTAGATAATCCGATACGCATCCACCTTTGTCCCTAGCCGTCATTGTAGTGCATACCCTGACATTCACCTGTGCGCAACACATATACAATCACCAACCCACATCCCCCTGACAGACACAATCGTAGGTACCACCCTCTCGACCTACCGATAAAGCCGGCCGCCAATGGGATTGTCGCTGTAGCCACCGCTGTGGTGGTTATGATCACATTCTCTTGTACTGACATGGGCTCGGAGAATCCCCACACACCCACTCTCTGGGCGACCTGGAAGACCCCATAGCCCAGTAGAGCCGATTGCAGACTACCCATAGTCACCTGTCAATGGTATGTATCGAGACGAGCATGTGTGAAATTATGTATACAAAAGAGTGTGCCAGTAGAGCCGATTGCAGACTACCCATTGTCACCTGTCAATGGTATGTATCGAGACGAGTATGTGTGAAGCTATGAATACAAAAGAGTGTGCGAGTATAGAGGCATAGGGGTATGTGTGTACGTGTGTGTGAATAGAAAGGTGTGCAAGTGTGTACATGTATAAGTATAGTTAGGAATGGACGCAAAATATGTGCGAGTACATATGCGTGTGATGTAGATACAAATAGAAATGTGTGCGAGGGTGTGAATGGCTGCAGTCTATGTCTAACAAAGCTGATTCACTATACAAAAGTGATGCAGGACAAAGTAGAAATCGCACACACCCACTCTCTACGTGCAGCTTGTAAGACAATCAGTCCCATAGTGCCAATCACAAAACAACAAGAATAGCCAGTATAGAATACACATGAATACATATAGAGTTGTGTCCGAGTAGAATACAGCTACATACATGTACTTTTGCATATACACGGCCATGATAAATCCGAACACCCCACAGACGCGATAGTCCAGTACAGATGACTGCAAATAACTCGCTAGACCGTACACGTGTACAAATGGTCGAAAGGCTAATGAGATTGGTTGTGTGTGACGCTAACACTGTATAAGATATGAGCAATGAGAATGAAACAAAAGGATCAACGCTCCATACTATAGCATTAGCATCTCCGTCCCAAAAGCATATTCTTATGTACCAGAATAACATTTGTTCAAACAGTGCATGCGAACAAATAAACAGATATGTTAACGAGCGATTACAACGAATGTATGTGAAGTGTCAAAAAAAAAAGTGCGGACACATTTGCACATACCCACAGACGAGACAACGTACACACGCACGAGTGTGATTGTGAAACAGTGAAGAAATAAAAAATCGAAAAACTCACCCAACCGGTCATAATGCCGAAGTACATGTTGATAAAGCACATTAGAGTGCCGATCAAAAGCCCAACGAATACAGCCCTGAACTGCTTGTCCCCGGATACGAATGGTGAAAGTAATGAGATAGTGTTGTGAGAATGTTAAACCTACTAAAAATAAGAATGAATTTATATATATATATATATATATATATATATGTATACATAAATATATATATATATATATATATATATATATATACATATATGCATATATATATTATATATATATGTGTATACATACATATGT